TTTTTTTTATTATAAAATATCCATATAGATAGACGGAGTCTCGTTCTATAATACATCATGTAGCTGGCCTCATACCATCTATATCACTATTTGAATCAGACCCATATCTCATAATATGAAAAAAAAATAGTGAAAAACTAATTTCACTTAAACTTTTGTCCGGGACTGTAGTATGAACTCTATTTTTAAGACTTTTCTGCTAAGAAAAATCGAAATTTTTTTTCGAATGGGGGCGATCGCCCCAAGCGCCCCCCTCCTAAATCCGCCACTGACTGACGACATCTATAAATATGCAATAGCATAAGTTTTATATTAAACTTAAGATTTCGTGTACATTTAAATTTATAAAACGAATTAGTCAAAATATTAATTAGTAAATTTTCATTTTAAATATTATCTTCTTTGCCTTCCGATCATATAAAACAACGAGTTATATAGACCAATTGAAATCTGAATGAATTTGGTTAGATCATTTTTCACATTTAATTTGATTTACGTTTTAAGAAAGAATCAAATCATTAGATATTCGTGATAAAATCTACCGAAAATGTCATATCCTTCAGATATTCAAATTAGTAACGGTTCACGGTTTTATGCAATTTTTGTTCAACGTATACAGATTTATATCCAGATATGTATTGTGAATGAGAACGATTTACACGTGAATATCGTCATTTATTCAAATTATATGAATTTAATCCAAATACTCGATTCATATATTAATGTTAAAAAAACAATTTATCAAATTTAAAATATTCTTTCGGGTAAATCGCGTACTTACAATTACTGAATATTTTCATTATTGACACTTTTTAGAAAAACTTGTATTCAATTATTAGTAATATAATCCATGTCATATCCATATAATCTTCATTATAATTCTATTTTGTTATATACAATGATTTATTTAATAACAAATATAATAGATAAATTTGATCAAGAATATGAACAAGATGATTCATACAGTTTTCTACAGAATCATTATCCACATCAATATTGTCACATGAAGAAGATTTTTCTTTTCTCATATTTTTCAAATAATTTATCATAATCATGGAATTAAAATATGTTGAAGCATTCAATATACAAGAATAAAGAAGATGTTCAAACAATTAGTTTATATAAAGATTATTTCAGGATTTTTCAATATTAAAATTATTAGTACATTTTTCTAGATTTATTAAAGATTTGTCAATTTATTATTGATCATGGAAAGATATCCATTTCTTTCTTCTATGTTATTATTATATAAAGAAAAAATGTCATCGGATATCGATAAGTTACACATTTTACTCGGTTATTTCTTGATCAAAAATGGATTCATTATCAATTCTACAAGAGATGTAAAATTAATATATATTATATTAATTAGAAGTAAATTTTTCTTTTAGTTAGAAATTATTAATTTTACAAAAACAGATCGATCAGTTACGACGGATTTTTATCGCAATCAAGTTCGATATCAGGCAATTAGTACAGTAGCAACTTCTGAATTTTTAATTGTGATAGAGGTAAATTGAAAAAAATACCTTTATAAGTATTTATTTTTTGCTTTTTTAAGGTCCAAAATCATAGACATCGACTTGTACTTAAGCTAGATGATTATTTTGATAATAATAATCGGTAAATTTCAATAATTTTATTTTTATATTTTGAAATATTTCTCTAGAAATTTGTACAATATTAATCAATTCAATGGAAAATTAGGAAAATTCTTTAGTGATATTGATCAGAAAGAATTCAATATTGTACAAGCATATTATTAACCATCTCAAAATACAAATAAATCATTATGAACAGATATTTTTTTTTTCATAACAAAAGTTTATGTGAATGTTCATATTGATATAATAATAAAAGAAGAAAAAAAGAAAAAAAGAAACAATATAATTTTTTTCATTCATTTCTTCGTCATCTATTTACATTATTAAAAATAGTATCGTTGTTTTCGTTGACGGTATCGGTCACAATATATTTAGAAATAAAACGTATATTATATATAAGCTAGGAAAACTAGATAAATGAAGATAAATATGAACGATTTCTCGATTGAGTTTAATGATCTATCTGATGAGATTATTTTAATTATTTTGAAAAAATTGTACAATGTTGAAGTACTCAACTCTTTAATAGGTGTTAATAAACGATTTAATAGAATTGCACATGATTCAATTTTTACAAGTCATTTATCATTAATGGAATGTTCATCGGATAATTCCATTTACTATGCCTTGTCTGATTCGATACTTGATCGATTTTGTTCACAAATTTTATCTTCGATTCATCATAAAATCAATTGGCTTAATCTTGAATCAACTTCCATAGAACGTATATTACTTGCTACGAATTATTCGAATTTATATGGACTTGGTTTATATAATATTAATGTAGACGAAGCTTTATCTCTCTTTACTGGTAAGTTATTGTCGATTCTTTCAAGAATTAACCAATAAAATATATAAATGAAAACAAAAATAATTTATTTTTAATATAGACAGTCCCGAACAAAAGTTTAAGTGAAATTAGTTTTTCACTATTTTTTTCACATTTCTTTTTCAGTATATTTTTTTCATATTATGAGGT